GCTGCGCTTTTATCGTCTACGCTACCTTGATGGCTTAGCAAAGATAGAATGTGAATGTTTATTTATAAAGCCCTGAAAAATGTTTTGCCCAAGCGACGGCTCGTTTTTTCGGATTGTACTGTCATACGATTTTCTAAACATCATTTAATCATTTCAAGTATTGATTTCGTATTTCAGGTGATATTTTATGTATTTTAAGTCTGTATTTCATGTATTATTCATAAAATTTTATATATTTTCTCTCTTAATTAAAAAAATCACTCTTCCCTCTGTTCCACATTAATATAATCGGAGAAGCGCTCTAATTGCACAACAAGTCAAAGCATACCGCTGGTTGAGAGTTGAAAGTTATGAGTTTGATCATGGTAACTGATTAAATAACTGGCATGATTAAATAACCGACAAGAAGCACGTTAAATTTGCTGTGTCTGAAAATCCTCTCTAGCTGGTTGTGGCGTGGAAATTTGGAGAGAGGGGTACCAGCAGGTATGCTGTCCACATTTTCTTGTGTGGTGAGTTGTTATTGATAATGTCAACTTTCATCTATGAAAAGGTACCCCACCATAGAATGGAGTTAAAATGTCTGATATATACTAGTGAATTGGAATTTTGTAGTGGTAGATTCTAAACGAGAATGGAATTTCGTGGCATTCCTAGGATGGACAAAAGAGTGATCCCAGAAAACGGGGTTATGTGATTGGCCATCAACACATTTATTTTATCATATAATAATTATTCCATATAACCATAGTTAAACCCGCTTGAGCCAAAGGAGTAAAATGTTAATAATGACATACGGGTAAACTTCGTAAGTCCTGATATTCATTCACGCGTCTTCCTAGTTTAAACGCAAAGGGATGTCTGCTTTAGAAAATTCTAAATGAAAGATGGTGCAGTAAAAGACACTGAGTCACGACAGGCAGACGACAAACGAAATGCGCTGAATCACACGTTTAAAAACTCAAACTTGTAGCGAGAATTAAAAAAGAAATAGTAAAATAAAAAATAAACAAAAATAACTGTCGCCCCAGACTCCTTTCGATCTACACCGCCATTTTCTAAATACAGCAGTTACTTTGGAATAGGTGGAGACAGGATGTAAACGGATAGAAGAAAGGAGAGAATGAGTTAAATATAAAAAAAAAAAACAGACCAAACACTGTTAATAAGAAAGAATAAATAAAATAAGAAAGTCAGGTAAACTAAAAATAAAAACTGGTAGGTGGCAAGACTGATGTTCCTTAAGTACTTTCACTGCGGTTTTGAAGGTAAAAAAAAAAATGGTGACGTAAAATTTGGAAGTGAAAGAACTTTTGGGGATTATTCAGGATGATGGAATGTTCGACGTGTGCCACGTGGAATTTTTCCGCAATTCATTCGGCGAGACTTTTAAGTAGCTGTGTAACAAAAGTGAATCGAGTTGGTGGTATTTACCGTTAAAGAGAGAAAAGAACATGACATTTTGAGAATTTAAAATAGTACAGCTTTGAAAGAATATATTTTAATTAGAAATATTAATAACAAAAATTAAAATTTTAATCACAACACAGCTTTTAGTTAACAATGTGCTGGGTTTATTTAAAAAGTAATGTCATTGAGTCAATTAAAAGTATTGTTGTTGTTGTAGGCCATTAAAGCATTGAGGATGCAATGCCGCTATCTATAGCCAAGAATTCGTCATCTGCCGCACCCATAGGTCACACCCGTTTATAAGGTGGACCCCTTCATTCATCCGCAGATCGAAATTTTGACCTGAACCAGAGAATGATCAATCTCTAATCCAGTACCCCAGAGGTATAATTTGCTATGGCAACACGGGGGACTTTGTAATCCTACAGATTTAACGTGCACCAGTCACCATTTACTACACGGTGAGTCTTCTGCTTGCTGGATTCAAACTCCTGTTCCCACGAACGTGAGTCCAGCGCCCTACCAACCAGGCTATCCTGCCCTATTAAGAGCATTAACTGATCACATTCACCTTTTGAGGGGCAGAAAAATTTTGACCAGAATTTTGGTCAAAAAGAGGCATAAAAACTGTTGTATGCAGAACCTATGAAGGAATTCGTTTTATCTTGCAAATTTTCTAATGACCTGATTGCTTATAAAAGGAAAACTAAAAAATTTTTTTGTGTTTATATATTTGTCAAAAATAAGAGGTTTTACCTAAGAGCAAAGAGTTAATGGTATTACAGTGTTACCAGCAAAATTTTCGTGAATCAAAAACCTCACAAAAGGCCTTTTCTAGAATGTGCTTTACAGCTTTCGAGCTAGATTCTTTGAGGTCAGTGCTTTGACTTTCCACTTGTCTCGAAGTGATGTCCGTCAAGAGCAGGAACAAGAAGTGAAATTAAAAAAAAATATATGTATAGTTAAAAAAGTGACGACTTTGGGTGATTTACGTAACATTTTGTTCTGCAGCGTAAAACTATGAGACTTAGAAATATTAATTTACGAAGGTGTGTAGAAAATGTACAGGGAGTACGTTGTATTAAAAAAAAAATTTAATATTTGGTCATTAGTTTTAGAATTATAATTTATTAAACTAGCAGTAAAAAAGTGCTATTTCTGTCTCACAACAGAGATGGAAATAATTTTAATGCCTCTGCTGCCTAATATTCTGAAATGTCCCGAAATCATGGATGGTGTTTTCAATATAAATGTAAACAGTAACCATCGCGAGCTCTTTACCTGCTGTATTTCTGTTTAAGAGGCTTAAGGCCTGTATACACGGTTCAATTTCTTGAATCCGAGAAATTGGACGGATTTCTCTGTCCAAGAAATTGGATGATTCGTTGCAACTATCGAAGTCCTTGAATGTCACTGATTCGTTGAAAGAAAAACTTGCGCATGCGCATTGTTCATATTCAACATTATAAAATAATACTTACATAAGTTTAAAATTACTAAATAAATTCAAATAAAGTCATAATAACACAAATAAACCGCAACAGATCAATTTATTTGGACTAAAATATATGAAAACAGACAACAAAATGACATAATTTGCTGCCTGCTTGTCGACGTCACAAAACCTAAGACGCTGATTGGTTAAGGGAGAAAAAACTTGGATAGAAAGAAGAACATGCTCTACTATCGTCCAAGAAGTTGGACCAAGTTCTTGGATGATTGTTTACACGATTCAAGCTCAAAGCAAAACAAGTTTCCATCAATATCAATCAATCTCTGTCCAAGAAATTGAATCGTCTAAACAGGTCTTTACTGCAGCTAATTCTGCAAGGCGATATTTTTAAGCAGATAATTTTGTTTTTAATAAAAGAAATAAATTATATAACTTTTGAGCTCAAATTCGCTGTATTTTATAAGATATAAATGATATTAAGAAATTCTGGTGAGTTTTAAGAATAAATTTGCTTTAGTTATTTATAGATGTATTGTTAAAAAAGGTGACATGGTTGCTAAATTTGAAAAGAACTCGTTTTTTTGGCAGTTCCGATTTGGTCACTTATTACTTGTTCAGTACTGTCTGTTCTTGTTGCAAGTCGTGCACCATCATACGTTAGTGTTAGCATATTGTTCGAGTAGCGAGATTAAGTTCGTTTTACAAATTATCATTCAGGTTTAAATTTCGAAATTGATATGTTGGCAATGCAAAAAGTGTCTTATAACGATTTTTTTTTTTTTTTTTTTTCAAATGATGATTCGCACGTTTTGAAATGACAGGTCTTCAAATCATGATTCTTATAAAGATTACTTTCTAAACTCAAATAATAAATCAGGTAACAAATACACGTATGCAGGAAATACAACATAAGGGAGTTCAGAACACAAGGATCACGCTGCAGGGTTGCCCCCCAAAAAATGGACGAAATAGTTGTTTTTAGTAGCCTAAAGCATAAAAATAGTTGCCGAAAACTACGAAGATAGTTGCCTAAATAAGAACAAAAATTCATCAAAAATATGACTAAATTTTGTTAATGACTTAATTGTCATATACCATGATCCATTTAGTCAAGTTGGTGGCAAATATGATAATTTTTATATAAACGTTAATGTTCTAGCACAATTTTCCCTTTTATCAATAATTTATCTAGGAAATACATATTATATACATATACACACATATATATTGTGAAAAGTGATTACTCAAATTCGAAATTCACGCATCGTAATATTGTATTAATTTATTTTTTTTTAAATCATGCGGAATTTCGAAACAATAACCATTAAAAAGGCGACCGAGAAACGAAATAGACTTACAAAGGCATCTGCAGATTGAACGAACTTAAAAGTGAAGACTCAAATTTGCAAATCAAAATTTTCAACATTTTTTATTTTTTAAGCAAAAAAAGTTCCGTGTGTTCGAAAGCTATCGTGGGTCGCAGATTTTGAACCCAATTTATGCTGAAAAAAACATCGCTAGGAGTACAGAAAAGTCTCCCAATGGTCTCCTCTTCCTGAAAATAGTTGCTTTTTTAGTCCTTTTAGTTAAAAAAAGTTGCCATAGTCCCCTCATACCAAAAATAGTCGCAAATACTTGCATTTTAGTCACATGTGGCAACCCTGCGTGAGCCAAATGGCTTCAAAATACACCGGAAACAATAACCCGGAAGTATAGTCAGTAAAAAGCTTACAGCGCACCCTAGTGTAGAAAACTCTCCATATTTACGGTGGTTCGTTTGATTTAATAGCTGCCGGACAGATTTTAAGTTATTACTAAAATTCATTACATAAAGAACTTAGGGAATATCGCGGACATTTATTGAAAATGGTTAAAATTTCAATCAAAGTACATTCCCGCGGGCAACAGCTAGACGAAGAAAAAGAATTTTAAAACCGATTTCACATTAAATTTGAACAAGGATTATTTTTAGATGCTTCATTGCTGCGTGAAATAAAGCAATTAATAAAATTATTTTCATTATAGGTTGTAAAGACATTTTCATCTCATATCATTTCGAAGGAAAAACCAGTAAGAGGATAAGAAAATTTAAAATTTAAACATGAATTCTTAACTGCAAAAATAAATTATGGCTTACCTGGTGTTGTTTGGTATGCGCTTTTACTTTGGAATCTTCAGTGGTGGTCAGTGGTTATCTGCTTAATCTAACCTGTAAAAATAAAGGAGCTTATTATCATTTGGACTGATCCATTTTTCAACACAAAAGACATTTTGCATTTTTTTTTAGAAAAAATTTTGATTGTTCAGTATTGTACATTTATAAGCCTATTTCTAAAATTCGGGACAGCATGCTTCAGATGAGATAATTTTAATTCTTTCTTGTAAATTTTGGTTTGAGTTTTCTATAAAATTAAAAAAGAAAAAGTTCTGGTGGTTATGTTATACAAATGAAGATAGATTATATTTTACGCTACGTACAAACAAAGCAAAATAATCTAAACAAAGCACAAATAAAGACAGAATGGTAGACATAATGTAGTTTCGGTTCTATAAACAAGAACCTTCCTCATTGTAAAAACACACACACACAAACAGCTCCTTGAAATTTTCGACTAATGAATTAATATTCCATTCCGTTTTCGCGCCCCTCTTTGTGCTTTATTCGCGTTGTTTTGCTTTATTAAATTTATACTCGTCTTCAATAGATTTCCAAAATCGAATTCTTCATGGCAAGATTATATAGTTTAAAATCATCACATTGCTTCATGTGTAAGAATCTTTAACAATGGTTTTTTATTTTTATTTTCCTTGGCGACAGAGCTTCGAAGTACCTTACACTTTGGTCAAAGCTATAATTTGAAACAATAAATGCCATCGTACCATGAAGATAAATCTGATGCTTAGAACAGACAAATAACTTGAATATTTAAAAAACTATTAAGCTTTTTTTAAAAATCAACAATTTGGCGACATTTTTCTTCGTAGATTAAAAATATCAAAATCAATGCTTCAGTCTCAATTTTTAAAAAATTTTATGAGCCCAGATAATGTAGCATTGGAGTAAGTTTTTGAACATTAATAAATTAGACCACAAACGCTTTTCATTTCCTTAAAACTGTGGCTTTTCACCATATTGACGTTTGCGATATTATCAAAATAAGCATAGAACGTTGGCTAAAGACAGGTTACACTTGATGTAGCAGTCATAATGATATATAATTCGCAAATAAGCGTCATGCATATCTTAGCATTTTTCAAGTACTCTTTTTTCGTAACAATTTAGTTTATTCAATACGAACGTTTACGAACATCTTAAACGGGGTTCTTCAAACTATACTACTCATCGTACGTTTGGCGAACTTTTTACGATTCTTAATAATTTTTTTTGTCCTAACTTATATTTTCAATACTTTTTGTCATCCGCAACCAATGAACAAAATGGTTTAAATATATTAATTCATAAGCAAACAAAATATTAATAATAATAATTTATAAAATAATTCGGCTTGATTCACAATTCTTACTTAGGGTACCGTCCTTGTTAACTCTGTTTTTCGAAGCTCTATCGTCATGGAAAATTAAAAAAAGCCTAAGCCTTACACTCAAAGCAATGCGATGATCTTAAATTATATACTATATCATCTTGAGGTAAAGAATTATCTGGGCTTTAGAACAGACAAATAATTTAAATGTTTTTAAGGTTATTAAATTTTCTCAAAAATCGCCAATTTGGCGACATTTTTCCACCTAGAGGAAAATTATCCAAATCACCTCAGTTTTTGTAAATTTTTATGAGTCCAGCTAATGCAGCATTGGAAGTAAGTTTTTAAGTATTAAAAATTAGACCAAAAACGTTTTACAATTTTGCAAAGCTGTGGCTTTTCTCCATATTGACGTTTTGTGCCATTTTCAAAATAAGCAGAGACAGCTCTGGCTTTAGATAGGCTAAATTTGACCTAACGGTCATGAGTAACAATTGCAAACTCACAGCAGTTTTAAAAAACAGCATATTATTCGCAAAAACGCACCATTTCATATTACGACGGATCCTTCGAAAACAGCCTTAAATAATTATATTATTCAAAAAATCACAATTTTCCAATTTTATTTATTATTTAAAGTTGAAATTTTATGATTGTTGGATTTAAAACTATCCGATTTAAATTTTATTTAATATTTTTTTCACTGTTAACTGTGCTGCATTTCTAGCTCAGTCATTTAGTACAAAACACCATTTCAATTTTTACTTTACCAAAAGTGAATGCATTTAAAATAAGCATAAAAAGAGCAGTTCTTGAATCTATGTCGATGAAAATAATCAAGCAATTCAACACTACATTTAGCAAATTCAATTTGTCAGTTTTCATTTGTATTGGAATTGAATATAAAACACGTATCTATTTAATCGAAATGAATTATTCAATATGCTTAAACTCTCTGCGGATATACTTATCTCGGAACAAAAAGTTAATACCAAACATTCGTAATGAAATTCGATAAGGAATGCAAAATAAGTAAATAAAAAAAAGTATTTTTTAATTAACATCTCGCATTCAAATAAAGAATTCAATATTAAATGTTATTATTATTTTTTTATTCTTTAAAAATTAATTGGATTGGCAAGATTTTGTTCGAAATGCAAAATAAAAGAAATTGAGAATTGACATTATTTGAAAATGGCTTTAAAGGCAACTGACTTCAAACTTTGATTTAGAAGCAAACAAACAAGTAAAGAAAATCGTTTGGGATATATATTATATATTCTATTGCAATTCTATTTGATGAGCGGACATTCCTTTTAATGAACGGATCTTCCGTTAATGAAATTATCATTGAGAAGAAGAACACTCTATAGAACGAGGGGGAAGTCTTCAAGAAGAAATTGGAAGTGGCAGAAATCGAATGCGTGTCTTCTTATTTTCATTCCCTTCGTAAAAGAATATGTACTGAGTTTGTTAATGAGTGAATTTGCATAATCGTCTTTTCTTATTGCTTGTTCTGATGGGAAACCCTTATTCTAATTGTATGCCACCAGTTTTTATTGTTCTCTTTTCTTTAAAAAAAATATAGATGAAGTTTATTTTATTAAATCTGATTTTTTATTTTATTTTTATTCTTTGGATGACCCCAGTAGCAAAATTTACTGAGTCTATCTTCAGCTCTATCTTAAAAAACTGAAATTTGTCTATGACATCATAAATCTAGTCATGGAAAACTCCCAGCACAGTAACAAGTGTTGCAAAATTACGTAGCAACTGTAGAACGTTTTTAAAAAAAGGTTAAAAAAAAAAAAAAAAAAAAAAAAAGAGCAACAAATGGAGGAAAAAATTGATAGCAGAGTATGGTCTACGTCTACAAAGGGAGGGAAAAAATTTTCTATCTTCATTTATGAAAAATAACCGTCTTATTTTAATGCTTGTTCTGGTGGGAAACTGTATGCCGCCAGTTTTTACTGTTCTTCTTTCTTTTAAAAAATAATAAATGAAGTTTATTTCAATAAATCTGATTTTTTGTGTTATTTTTCGATGACCCCAGTAACAAAATTTACAGAGTCAAGCAACAGTTCTATCTTAAAAAATTTAAATTTGTCTGTGGCTTTATAAACCCAGTATTGGAAAACTCCCAGCACAGCAACGGACGATACTGATTACCACTGCAACTGCAGATTCTTATTTTCAAAAAAGAAAAAAAAAGACAACAAAAGAGGGAAAAAAATTTCTTATTTATGAAAAATAACCGTCTTTTCTTATTACTTGTTCTGACGGAAAGTCCTTATTCTAATTGTATGCCACCAGTTTATATTGTTCTTCTTTCTTTTAAAAAAATATAAATGAAGTTTATTTTAATAAATTTGACTTTTTGTTTTAATTTTTGAAAACCCCAGAAACAAAATTTACATTTTGTTGCTTTATAAACCCAAAATTACCAGCACAACAGCGAGTTCTACAGATTAACACAGTAACTGCAGAAAGACAACAAATGGAGAAAAAATTGTTAGAACAGAAAACTCTGAACAAGTAAAAATTAATAATAGCATGAAAAGAGCATTTTTCTATCTTCATTTATGAAAAATAAAAATGATTTCCATATTTTCTTTTAATTTGTTACTGAAAAAAAAAAGTTTATTTCGCTAGGTATTGTTTTATTTGTCTGCTAAGTACCAGTAAAGGTATTCTAATGAATTTAATTTGTAGAAGATTTATTAAGAACATAACAGAACACCATAAATTGCTATTCTGTTATTTCCCTTAGAATGAAAAGATTTTATTTTAATATTATCATCTGAAAATTCATTCTTTCTTTCTAATTTCTTTATTTGCCTCTGTACAAGCATCTGTTATACTTTTTATTTTAGTTTGGACAATTTGCAAAAAATGATTGTATAAAATTCAAATTAAATTTTAACAACAGAAAGTGTTTGTGTATAACTTTATTAAATTTAAAATTTGAAAATTGTACGAAATCTATGTTAGATTAGGCTTAACAAAGTAATAATAAAATTTGAAATGTTATGTTAGTCAAGTTATAAAATTTGACAAAAATAGTAATCACAGGTAACAGTTCCTTTCAAACAAGTTCTGGGAGTTCTGCAAATAAGCATTTCTAAATTGCCGCTTTTGAAACATTCGTTATTTAGAATGCACTTCTCTGCCTTTTTGTTATAATAGATGGAAACATGGTACAAAATTTATTAAAAAAAACTGCCCTAAAACTTCAATAAATTAATGATTGAAAACGCTTTTACACCTTACATTAAAAAACTTCATTTGACAAAAAATAATTTAAAAAAATATGGGCGTTTGTATTCATTTGTAATGGTTAAAAAAAATATTAATAATAATTGACTTGTTAAACTTGATGAGAGCGATAACATCTACAATGTTTCAAAGAAGAGACAATTGTGTAAGCAATCATTTCTAAATTCTCGCTCTTGAAACATTAGTTATTTAGAATACACGTTTTATATTTTAAAATATTTAAATATTGACAGTTGGTTTAAAATTGATTAAAGCAATTAAAATTTGTATAAATTATTGTTGAAATTAATGAAAATGTATGTACAATGAATATTGAAAGCTCTTTATTGAAAATACTATAAAAAAAGCAATGTTTGTTAAACAGTATCATTTTGCACAAGAAGAGTAAAATTACTGAACTTAACGAAAACATTAACCACGGATAACAGTAGAAGTGACAATTATGCTCGTA